TGGGGTGTGAAGGTGGGAGGACTCCTTTCTCTGAAGAGAACCAGACTGGGCAGGACCAGGGGGATGAAGACAGTGTGAGCTCAGGCGATCACAGGGTGCCAAAGGAAGGCCCCAGCTATGCTCTCAAAACCAGGCCAAGGCAAGGCAGCTGTTCGCGGGGCAGCCAGGCCAGGGCCCCTGAACACACAGCGACCAGCCTCTGTGCAGCACTCACAGACATTCACTCCTTTCACCATCTCAACAGCCCTGTGATCTCACGAGTCTCCCCATTTTACACGTGAAGAAACTGAGGCACAGATTAAATGGCTTGCGCAGGGCTAGCGGGACACAGTTGCAAGTCTAGGCCCGTGGGCTCCAGAGTCAAGGTTTGTAATGTAACTGCTGTCACAAGCAAACAGGAGGGCAGGCAATACGAGGCCTTGACGGTGCACAAAACCAGAAGGTCCAGGAAAAGGCCCCGTTAGTCCTGCCTCCCAGCTGACTTCCAGAGCAAAGGTATTTGCCCCGACGCGAGGAGGGAGCAGCTAAACTATAAGCCCTGCTGTTCCTGCTGGAATGAATTACCCTGTGGTCCTTCTTTTCAGCATCACTGCGGCTGCTGCTTGGGTTTTAAATGAAAGAGCCATTGCCCGAGTCATTCTGTCTCCATAGGAACACAGCTGTCCTTGAGCCGTCCCCGAAGGGAGAGAGACAGACAGCCCCCGCTGTGCCCACCCCACCCCAACAAGGAACAGAGCCGCATGCCGAGCTTCCAAGCCCCTCCAGCTCTTCCTGTCATCTTTCCATTGCTCCAAGTAACAGAACATCCTCTTGTTCCAAGAGGCAGGCAGACTAGATGGACGAAGGGTCAGGCCACATCTGGAGCAGACAGCTGTGGCCGTGGGTGGGTTCCGGGGCTGCAGGGCTGTGTTCATGTGTCTCTGCATATTTGTACATGGGTTCCTGTCTACCCGTGTGTTCAGGCATCTTGGTAATTCTATGTGGGGCAAGTACATGTCTGTGACTGCTTCTATGAGAAGGCACATGTGTGTGTCTGAGCTTGACTGCAGATGGCCATATGTGTATCCACGTCTGTGTGTGTGTGTGTCCTGGACACAGTCCCTGGCTGAATGAAAATAGACAGCACACGGTGGTGGGCCTGCTCCTGCGGGTCTGACCGGGAAGAACACTGGCTCTGGAACTAGAAAACTTGGGTCTGAGTCACAGCTTCCTAACTTGTGGCTGAAGGGCCTTTGGGCAGTCACACGCCTTTTCGCACCTCAGTTTCCTCATCTATTCAATAGGGATAATGACCCCCAGCTACCTTGGGGGCCATTGTGAGGCTCAGATCTTGAGCATGGGAGACGGGAGCAGGGACAGGAGGAAACAGATTCACTGCAGGCAGAGGGGCTGAGAGCACAGGCCATACAAGTCATCCCAGCCTCCGATGGCCCTGGAGACATCTGTCCCCAGGCATCCAAGCAGACTCAGCAGAACGGGGGTGGCCTCTGAAAGGGCTGGGCTGTTGCTAGTAGATGTGTGACATTCATGTGTTACTAATGCCAAGAGAGGGGACAAAAGTGGCCATCCCACCCCAATCCTGGCCCATGGCCCCGCTGAGCACCTAGTGCCTGCTCTTTGCTTTCTACGTGGTGTCCCTTCCTCACCACACTCAGGAGGCAGGTGCTGGGAAGGCCACTTGTCCTGCGTCACACAGAGAGTAAGTGGTCAAGCCAGGACTGAGAACTGGTCCTCCCGTCTGCCCCAGAGCCTGAGCTCTTAACTAGGGTGGAGAGCCCCCGCCCCAGGCTCACTGAGGACTGACTCCCGGAGGACCCCACCCCAGCCCACTGGCTGCCTCTGCTTCCCCAGAGTCTCCTCTCCCCGCAGGATGCTGCTCTTGGCTTCTGGCTCCACCCTCAGATGCCTCAGGGCTGCCGTTCACACCCCCTGCCTCCGGTACAGTGGGGCTGGGCACTTGTGGTCACCTACCCACAGGGACAGGGCTAGGGCAGGCAGCGAACCCAGCAAGTCTTGCCTAAGACTCCATCTTACTGTTCCCCAGCTGGGATACTGAGGCCCTTGAACGGTGGGGTAGCAAGGAGCAGACAGGAGCAGAATCTATATTCTTTGGGCTCCTGAGGCTGGGCCCGTAGTTCAAGGTGAGGGAAGAGGTGGGGCTTGGGCTGAGGGCGGGGCTGAGCCCAGGAGGAGGCAGGCAGTGGAGCTGCCTTGATGGAGAGTCAGCAAGACCCCAGGCCTGGCTAAGTGAAGAGGGAGAGAGGCGGCACCCCAGCTGGAAGGAGGGGCACCGTGGAGACACCTACACAGAGTGAGCCAGGGCGTGGGTCCAGCAGAACCAGTGTCCTCTTCTGTCCAGCCCTATGCCAGCCCAAGGTTGACCTTCCAGCCACTCTTTCTTCCATGATGCTCTCCTTCACTCAACCCACCCCATGCCAGGCCCCCCTTGCCGCCCTTCTCCCCCCATCTGCCCCAGCCTTGTGCCATCTGAGCTCACCCCCTGCACAGCTGCGAGTCCCCCGTCTCCGGGGCTCTCCAGGCCCGTGTGCGGTACACAATTCTCTTTGCACAGTTTCTTTCATCCATCTTTGGACCCAGAGATGGCTCTCGCTTCACCTGGGTGTGTAGGAGGAGTTGAGGTTGCTAAGCAACCAAAGGCAAGTCATGGGAAAGGCCATGGGGGGGCTCAGGAGTGATGCTCAGAGTCGCTGTGCACCCCGGCACTCCCGTGGATGTCTGCAGAGCACCTGCTCTGGGGGAGGCACAGGGCCCGGCCCCCACAGGCCCTGGGTCAGGAAGTGCCCAGCTCGCCCCGGAAGAGAGCAGCAGCCCCACAAAGCCACGTGGAGCAATCGTGACGTGCTGCAGAGTGTGGGGAGCAGCTGGGGCCTCTGTGGACGACATCAGGCAGCCAGTGAAGCTTCCCAGAACAGACGGGGCCGGAAACAAGAGTGGCTCCATCTAGGAACTCCTACTATATGCCCGGCACCCCATTCAAAACATCCATTATCCCCCTACCACCACCACCACCCCCCCGCAGAACTCTGCAGGAAGATGTCATTAGACCCATTGAGAGAGGAAGAAAGCGGGGTTCACAGTGATTTTCCCAAGACCACATTGAGCACAGAGCAGAGATTCAAACCCTGTCGGTCTGTCTAGGGGAAAGGGGAGCAAGCGAAGGTCCAGGGGGGGGGCGAGTGTAAGATTCACCGAGTCCATGCGTGGACCAGCCTGCCCCATGTACAAAAATGACAAAGCTCTGGGGAGGTAAGGCATGGATCAAATAATGCGTCAGGACCCTGTCTGGNCTGAGGGCGGGGCTGAGCCCAGGAGGAGGCAGGCAGTGGAGCTGCCTTGATGGAGAGTCAGCAAGACCCCAGGCCTGGCTAAGTGAAGAGGGAGAGAGGCGGCACCCCAGCTGGAAGGAGGGGCACCGTGGAGACACCTACACAGAGTGAGCCAGGGCGTGGGTCCAGCAGAACCAGTGTCCTCTTCTGTCCAGCCCTATGCCAGCCCAAGGTTGACCTTCCAGCCACTCTTTCTTCCATGATGCTCTCCTTCACTCAACCCACCCCATGCCAGGCCCCCCTTGCCGCCCTTCTCCCCCCATCTGCCCCAGCCTTGTGCCATCTGAGCTCACCCCCTGCACAGCTGCGAGTCCCCCGTCCCCGGGGCTCTCCAGGCCCGTGTGCGGTACACAATTCTCTTTGCACAGTTTCTTTCATCCATCTTTGGACCCAGAGATGGCTCTCGCTTCACCTGGGTGTGTAGGAGGAGTTGAGGTTGCTAAGCAACCAAAGGCAAGTCATGGGAAAGGCCATGGGGGGGCTCAGGAGTGATGCTCAGAGTCGCTGTGCACCCCGGCACTCCCGTGGATGTCTGCAGAGCACCTGCTCTGGGGGAGGCACAGGGCCCGGCCCCCACAGGCCCTGGGTCAGGAAGTGCCCAGCTCGCCCCGGAAGAGAGCAGCAGCCCCACAAAGCCACGTGGAGCAATCGTGACGTGCTGCAGAGTGTGGGGAGCAGCTGGGGCCTCTGTGGACGACATCAGGCAGCCAGTGAAGCTTCCCAGAACAGACGGGGCCGGAAACAAGAGTGGCTCCATCTAGGAACTCCTACTATATGCCCGGCACCCCATTCAAAACATCCATTATCCCCCTACCACCACCACCACCCCCCCGCAGAACTCTGCAGGAAGATGTCATTAGACCCATTGAGAGAGGAAGAAAGCGGGGTTCACAGTGATTTTCCCAAGACCACATTGAGCACAGAGCAGAGATTCAAACCCTGTCGGTCTGTCTAGGGGAAAGGGGAGCAAGCGAAGGTCCAGGGGGGGGGCGAGTGTAAGATTCACCGAGTCCATGCGTGGACCAGCCTGCCCCATGTACAAAAATGACAAAGCTCTGGGGAGGTAAGGCATGGATCAAATAATGCGTCAGGACCCTGTCTGGGTCCGGCCGGGCGTGGCTCAGCAGTTGAGCGTCGACCTAGGATCCAGGCGATGGGGGTTCGGTTCCCGGTCAGGGCACATGCCCCAGTTGCGGGCTGCAGCCGATCAATGACTCTCTCATCATTGATGTTTCTATCTCCCTCTCTCCCTCTCCTTTCCTCTCTCTGAAATCAATAAGGATATATTAAAAAATAATAATTTTAAAAATTAAAAAAAAAAAAGACCCTGTCTGGGAGTCCTCAGGAGGGCAAGAGCGCCTTCCCCTGGCGCTTTTAGGGCAGGCCTCCCCTTCAGGTGACGTCAGGCCTGCACAGACTGTCCTGGAGGGAGGAAAGCACAAGCATGTTCAGAGGCGTTGCCGCCAGAACAACCATGAGGCCCCTTCTCCAGCTAAACATCAGTCGTTCCTTAATCCAACAGCGTAGCTTACGTCAGCGATCGGGGGCCAGCTGCCCCCAGCCTCGCTCCTGTATGACAAGCGTCTCCCTCTCCACAGCCCACCGCAGGCCCGGGAGGCCGAGGCCTCCATTCCGCTCCCCCGACACCCTAGGATGGATGGATGTGGCTGGAAGGAAATGGAGGTGGCTCTGGTCAACTTCGACAACTCAGACGAGCCCCAGGAACAGCCGGGCTACGCCGCGGACTTCAGCGCCACCAGCCCGAGGGGGCGGCCCGGGGGCAGCCCCTTCTCCACCTGGAGGATGCTCCTCGGCGACGGCGGCAGCCACGAGACCGCCTTCTCCAGGCTCCCGGGGGACTGCGCCGACCCCGCGGGGCCCGAGCCGGCGGCCAATGAGGGGAACCAGCGGGTGATCATCAACATCGCCGGGCTGCGGTTCGAGACCCAGCTCCGGACCCTCAGCCAGTTCCCCGACACCCTCCTGGGGGACCGCGAGAAGAGGGTGCAGTTCTTCGACTCCATGAGAAACGAGTATTTCTTTGACAGGAACCGGCCCAGTTTTGATGGAATCCTGTATTATTACCAGTCCGGTGGGAAAATCCGGCGCCCGGCCAACGTCCCTATAGACGTCTTCACAGACGAGATCGCCTTCTACGAGCTGGGGAGCGAGGCCATGGACGCGTTCCGGGAGGGCGAAGGCTTCATCAAGGACCCCGAGATACCGCTCCCCGCCAACGACTTCCACCGGCAGTTCTGGCTCCTCTTCGAGTACCCGGAGAGCTCCGTGGCCGCCCGCGGCGTGGCCACCGTCTCCGTGCTGGTTGTGGTCATCTCCATCACCATCTTCTGCATGGAGACGCTGCCCGAGTTCCGAGAGGACAGGGAGGTGAAGATGGTGAGGGACCCGGGCCTCAACGTCAGCAGGGCCATCCTGTCCCCGACCATGTTCACGGACCCTTTCTTCACGGTGGAGTCCACCTGCATCGTGTGGTTCACCTTCGAGCTGCTGCTGCGCTTCGCCGTCTGCCCCAGCAAGACCGGCTTCTTCAAGAGCGTCATGAACGTCATCGACATCATCTCCATCGTCCCCTACTTTGCAACCGTCACCACGGAGCTGGTCCAGGAGGTGCAGCCGACGGCCGAGCAGAACGTGTCGCTGGCCACCCTGCGGGTCATCCGGCTGGTGCGGGTCTTCCGCATCTTCAAGCTGTCCCGCCACTCCAAGGGGCTGCAGATCCTGGGCCAGACGCTGAAGGCGTCCATGCGCGAGCTGGGGCTCCTCATCTTCTTTCTGTTCATCGGCGTCATTCTCTTCTCCAGCGCCATCTACTTCGCCGAGGCCGACGAGCCGCAGTCCCATTTCTCCAGCATCCCTGATGGCTTCTGGTGGGCAGTGGTCACCATGACAACGGTGGGCTACGGGGACATGTGCCCGACCACGGCGGGGGGCAAGATTGTGGGCATCCTGTGCGCCATCGCGGGGGTCCTGACCATCGCACTCCCCGTGCCGGTCATCGTCTCCAACTTCAACTACTTCTACCACCGGGAGACGGAGAAAGGACAGGGGCAAAAAGACGCCCCAGGAGAATTCAACAAAGTCCCGCGCAGCGCCGGGCCCAGAATGGGCAGCACGGACTCTCTGAGTAAGACCAACGGTGGCTGCTCCCCGGAGAAGTCCAGGGAGTGATCCGGTCTGTCGGGGCGGCCGGGCTCCCTGAGTCCCCCTGTCTCTGTGTCTCTGTGTCTCTCTCCCCGCTCCCTCGGTGTCTCTTTCGCCCTTCCCCCGCCTCTTCCTCTCCGTTTTTCCGAAGACCAGAACCGATCTTTCGTGACCACCAGGCCCTCCCTGCCTGCAGGCTGTTTTAATAAACCCGTTTGCTGCTGCGCCTTCTAAGCTGTTTCTTCTCGGCTGGCCGACCGCAGGAAGGGTTCCCTCTCCTCTCCTGTGAGGGGGAGTCAGATCCTGTGACTCACTTGTGGTTCCCAAGCCTGGCACTATTGGCAACACCTGGGAGCAAGGAATGACTTGGGCGGGATGCTTTCGGTGGCAAGCGGTAGAAACCCAATTCGAACTGAACCAGAGGACTGTGCCTGCTCAGGTGACTGAGAGATGCCGGGGAGCTGACTGTGGGCCCGGAGTCCGGGCTCGGGCATCACCTCAGAGCTGTCGCCATCTCTGTCCAGCTCCCTTCTCCGCCTGCTTCTGCTGGGGACCTCCTTGCCCTCGAGGCAGGCATTTTCCAAGGGGCAGGGAGCGTGGCAGGCCCAGGTCACAGCGCGTCTCCATCAAACCAAAAAATTATAAATAAATGTATGCACCTATATAGACACACCTATATAATCACCTTTGTATCTAATTATTATCTATAGTTCCTCGCAAAAATGTTAGATCCAGAGGTAGGGATTTTTCTCTGTCTGGCCCACTGCTGTGTCCCCAGGGCCTTTCACAGCACACAGCAGGTACTCGGGGCATATTTGCTGACTTACTGAATTGTCCCTTCAAGCCCTCCCTCCCAACTACCCTGAAGAGACCAAACTAAGCCGCTCTGTAGGCCTGGTAGATTTCACTCTCCCACGGCCCTCTCCCCCAAACCCCAGACTGTAGGCTGAGGCCAGGCACCCCTTAGTGAGGGCTGTGAGTGCTGGGAACCCTTGAAGGCTTACCCAGGTGGGCTCTGGGGCCCTGGGGTGCAGCTGAGGGAGGGCCATGGGGACGTGTGGCCTAGAGCCCTGCAGGCTGCCGGCGCCCTCCCGGGGCTGCTCTACCTGGTGGAGGGTTAGAGGAGGGCAGGCGAGCAGGACCCCCACCCTCTCTGAGACCCCCCCTTTGAAAGGTCTCTCAGGAGGCCGTGTCTTGGACCCGTCACAAGCTTCCCACGGGAACCCCCAGCCTTCGAAAGGCTCCCCTTCTCCACAAGCGTCCCAAAAGTCCTGCCTCCCAGGGCAGCAGGGACTTCTCCCCCTGATTCTGCCCAGGCCCCACGCACTGACCCAGCCTGGCCCTTCTCAGCAGATGCCTGCTCCCCTGGGAGTCCTGTTCAGGCCACCTCCACACCAGCTGCTGAGGAAGCAGTGGTCCCTCCTCCAGTGACAAGGCCCCCCCACCCCTTAGCCCCTCCTTGTGACATCCTGGGGGTGGAAGCGAAGGGCTCACCCAAGGTGCCCCTGCCCCCCTGGCAGCTGCCCAGCCTCCTAGAAAATAAAACTCATTCGCTCCATGGCGGGAGGCTCTCCAAAGGCCCTTTGAAGCCAAGAAGAGAGAGCCCTGGTGTCCCCAGAGACCACTGTGTCGCCCAGAGGCAGATCCTGGAGACAGGAGACCGCCTGCTTCAAACGCGGGGATGAAAGGGAACTGGGGGTGGCCGGGACCCAGGAGGTGGGTGACAGGAAGATCAGACAAACTTTTGTTATTGCGGCTCAGGGGAAGCAGAGGTAAAAAGCCGCCCGCGAAATGTCACCGGCTAATGAATGCTGCTCCGCTCGTCACTGAGGTGTCTGTCAGATGCTCGCGCAGAGAATGACAGGGAACCTTGTCAGCGTTTCGGGTGGATCTCCTTTCTCTTCCGAGCCAGAGGGGCCACAGCTGAGCCCGTTCCTTCCCGCCACCCCCTATTGTTCTGCTGCTAACAGAAATAATACATGCACATGTAACAGAAAAAAAAAATACTAACAATAACAACACCAAGCTCCCAGGGTGGTCGTGGGGGTTAACTAAGATGACGTATGACATTCCTTAGCAAAGGGCAGAACGTTGTAGACAAAGGAGGGTGAAGACAGATGTCGCCTCTGCTGAGAGAGCCTCTGAGCAACGTCCCCGCCAAAGGATCGGCCTTCATTTCAGCAAGGAAAGAAGTCATGGCCTCAGGGTCCCCACTTCGAGAAACTCCCTGCGGGGCCAGGAGTTTCAGCTCCAGGGCCTTACACATGGAGGGCTGCAAACCATTAAAAAGTAAACTGAGGCATATTTTTAACATGTAAGAGTTTATTTGAGCAAAAATCTATTTGAACCAGGCAGCATCCAATTGGTAGAAAGGAGCTCAGAGGGGCTGTACAAAATGAAAGACTTTTATAGGCAGAAGGGAGTGGAAACAAGGAAGTTACACTGGCAAAAACTCGGGTTGGTTTTTCCGAGTTACTTTCCTTTAGGGGATGGCTGGGGTCTCTCAGGCAGATCTCTAACTAGTACTGATCAGGAGATTCCCAATTAACTGGTTTAAGATTCCATTTCTGGGAGAGCCAAACCCGTAATTAAGTCTCACTTTGGTGACCGACATGGGGCTTTGCGTAAGCAACTCCATTTTGGGCCTAAGGAGACAGTCAAAGCTGCTCAGAGCTTCAAGAGCAAGGCCTAGGGATGGAGCCTCTCTCCCACCCGGTGTCCAGTTTTGGCCCTGGAGCCCCGCTGAGCCTCTATGGCAGCCAGCCCTGCAGCCAGCACCCAGCAGCTCCCCCTTCCTGTCCCATCACAGCTCTTGGCTGCCCTCTGGCTTCAGCTCTCTGATCTTCCAGTGAATCCTGTTGGGACTATAAAGGCCACCTTTTGGGTGGGGGTGGGGGTAGGTAAGTCCAGGGGGCTTCTCTGGAGCAGCAGAGCCAGGAGAGCTGGTCCCAGGCCAGCCTCAGGGAGGGAGAGGCTTCCAAGAGGCAACAAATTGCTTGCTTGGGGACCAACGGATTGGATGAGGTTCCTAGGTGTCCCAGGCTGCTTCCCTCCCTCACCCCCATTCACATCACTGTCCCACACCAGAGGCTCAGGAACAGACTGAATGGGGATCGTACCGTCTGGACTCAAAACTGGACGCTCATTGGTCTAAGAAACAGCCTGGCAGATGGGTTTCGATTTCAGAATGACCAGCTTGTTCAGGGCACAATCAGATGAGAGAATCATGGGACAGGATATTTAAAACCTAAAAGCAGCCCCTCCCAATACATCTCCCCATGACAAAGCTCCTGATGGCTCTCACCCCTACACCACTCCACGAGGGCAAAGATCTGGGTTTGCCCACTGCTGTGGCTTCAGCACCTAGAGTGCTAGGTGTGGTCTATAAAGATTGAAGACAAGACCCAGGCAAACACCCAGGACAAAGGGGCCAGCTGTATGGGAGAGACCATCACCCGTGTCACCCTCTTTCACCTCTCTAGCTCAGGAGGAAAATCACCTCCAGGGGGCAGGTAATTTTCAGATGGCCCTCTGTCCCTATTGGGGAAGACGTGCTGGATCCCACCAGGTACTTTCGTCCCTCAGGGTCCAACCAGTTCCAGGATGAGCCAGTTGTTTCCAAACAGTCCTGGGAAGCTTTAGCCCTGGGGGAGAGTCTGCTTCTCAATGCTAGATGGGGAAGGAGTGATGGGAGGGAGGTTGGTGTAGGGCTGACAGACACTGGGGAGAAAGGACATCCCTCCTAGGGCAATATTATGTCCCTCCAAAATCCATGTGTTGAATCCTTAATCCCCAGTGTGACTGGATTTGGAACCTGGGTCTTTAAAGAGGCAACTAAGGCTAAATGAGGTCATAAAGGTACAGCCCTAATCCCATAAGGCAGATGTCCTTAAGAGGAAGAGACGCCAGGGACGTTTGGGCACAGGGGAAAGGCCATGTTGAGGACACAGTGAGAAGGTGGCCGTCTGCAAGCTGAGGAGAGAGGCCTCTGGAGAAACCAACCCTGCTGACACCTTGATCTTGGATTTCCAGCCTCCAGAACTGTGAGAAATAAATTTGTGTTTATACCACCCAGTAGGTGGTATCTTCTTATGGCAGCCTGAACAACTAACACTGGAGACGAAGAGGAAGACACAGAGGTCACGGTGGCAGAGGGGAGGGGCCCAGGAGACATACACACAAGTGCCCAGCGACCTTTGCCAGGAGCACCCGCGGGGCAGTAGAAAGCCCTGCTTCTCTACTCCAGTCTGAATAAATCCTTGGAATCCAGGCCAAGTCCATAGCCCAGCTGCCACCAAGTATCTAGAACATCTGCACAGCACCTTCTACACCCACCTGTCAATCGGTCCATTCATCTGGCCCAAGACAATGATTTCTGAAGTCCCCTAGATCCAGTCCATTCTTTCCCTAACTGGCCCTGGACTCCCTGGAAATGTGTGGACATGGGAAAATACTGGGAGATTCTCTACATTTTGCATATTATGCAAACCCAGCAGGGCCCCAAGCCAGGTACTGGAGGAGCTCTGGCCTAAGCACGCCTCCAGCTCAGGGCCGTCTGCTTCACTCTCTCAGAAGCTAAGGCCGAGAGACTAGCCACCAGGGTGACTCAGGGAGTCCCAGGAACATAAGCCTGATCATCTGGACAGCTAGTGTGCCCACAATCCCCTTCAATGCTTATAGATGACTCTCTCTGGATCAGAAATGTCCCTAGGGGAGCTGATGTGGGGACATCTAAGGTTTGGGCTGAGCTTGGAGGGCCTCCCAGGCTGCAGTTCAGAGCTGCAGGAGGTGTGGCTGGCCCCCACCCAGGACACTCCTGGACACATGAGAGGCCTGTCTCCAGAGGCTCCCTGTTCCCTCTCACAAGCCCTAAAAATAAAGCTCCTAGGACACAGTTATTCTGGTCTCAGTGCTAAACAGAGCCCTGGGAAAGAAAGGGGCTCTCAAGTTTCATGGCTGGGCCAGAGGAGAGGGCAAGGACAAGAGATGGGGGAGGCTCAGCACCTACAGATGGAGCTTCAGCATTGGCATGGAGGAAACCAAAGCCACCAGCTCAGAGGAGGTGGCTGGACCATGAACAGTCCT